GTTTCTTCTTCTTTTGTTTCAGCCCCTTTGCTAATTTTCTCATTCTCCATCTCTGTTTCAACCACTTCTCCTGTCTCACCTGGAAAAGTAACCAAAGCAGACATTAAGAGACGCTCATTTAGCATTTACAATAAAGTACCCCACAGTTGGTTTCCAATGGGGACAGCTCTTAATCTTTAGGCCTAAGCAGCAAGTTTCTCCGGTGGTGTCCAGAAAGTTGATCACCCTGGTTCTCTCAGTTCCTCTGAAGGCTGGAGGCATTTAACATCTCCGAGTCTTGGCATTCTCTCATATAAAATCAAGATACAGAATTACCCAAGAAATAACAGGAGAACATATAACAAATAGGAAGTTCCACTTAAATCTAAATCAGAAGGTGGCCTAGAGGTGCCCAGAAACCTGTCTCATTTTTTTTAAAACCTGTGGTATTTAAAGAAAACAATCATTAAACATTTAAAGGTTGCGAACATTTAAAAGTCTGGACATTGCACTTACAAATCTGTTTCCCTAAGAAGTGGGTTGCAGCAGCATTGGCCCTGTGCTTGTGGGTGGAGCCAAAATGCAGCTGCCTCTTTTCAAAGGGCTATGTTCTTATTCATCAAAGTTCCCTGGGGCTCCCCATGACATTCCATGTGTCTGTCACTTCATTCTCTGTCATTATCCTACGCCCAGAAGACTTGAGTTTGCCAACCCTGGTCTAACAAATACATGCTTTTACTTCTCCCTGTTTTTCCCAGAGCACTTTCATTAAAGCACTTGCCTCAATAGACTGCAGTAATTGTTTAAAGTCTGCCTTCTTCTCACTGTGACCCCTTTGAGAATAGGGATTCCCTCTTACTCCTTCTGTACCCCAGCACCTAGCATATGATTAGGCACTCAAAAACTGCTGTATTAATAGGTGCAAGAATTAGGGCCAGTTGAGTGGCTCAGTTGGTTAAGAGCTCACTCAAGAGTGTGAGCTCTGAGCAACAGTGGTTCAATTCCCAGCCCGAGCTGAGCTGCCGCTGAGCTGCCAACAGGTGGCAGGATGGCTCAGTTAAAAAATAAATAAATAAAAATAAGTGCAAGAATTAAGAAACAGATGGAGGGCCGGCCAAATGGCTCAGTTAGTTAAGAGCATGAGCTCTGAGCAACAGGGTCGTCGGTTTGATTCCCACATAAGCCAGTGAGCTGCGCCTGAGCTGAGCTGCCCCTGAGCTGCCAACAGGTGACAGGATGGCTCAGCTGATAAGAGCACGTGCTCCTAACAACAAGGTTGCCAGTTCGACTCCCACATGGGATGGTGGACTATGCCCACCCGCAACTAAGATTGAACACGGCACTTTGAGCTGAGCGGCCACGAGCTGCTTATGGGTGGCCAGATGGCGACTGGACTTAGAATTGAGCTAGCTGCACCTTCCACAACTAAGATTGAAGGACAACAACTTGGCTGTTCCCCTTCCCCAATTCCCCAACACTGTTCCCCTTCCCCAATTCCCCAATAAAACCTTTTAAAAAAAAAAAAGAAAAGAAAAGAAAAAGAAACAAATGGATAAATACTTCATTTAATTATACTGTAATGTGAAGCTAAAATTTACCAAAATAAACTTCAACCACCTGAAATGCAGACTTTAGTGGCTGTCAGCCACCCCCACCCCCAGAAATTGTCTCATATGGAGCACATCTAAACATCCTGAATCTTTAACAACATAACTTTACCTTCAATGTTTTGGTCCTCTTTGTTACTGTGAGTTTTCCTGACCGTTTCCACATTTGTCTCTGTTTCTAGAATTCCTGCTGGATGCTCTGTGCTACCAACTGTTCCTTCAGGTTGAATCTGCTCCATGTTTCCTAGACTTTCGGGAGTTGTTTCCACGAGGTGACATCCTTCCAATATTTCTGGAGATCCATTTTGTTTGGGAATTGTTTCTAGAAGTTGGGACTGCTCATCTCTTCCCAGTGCTTCTTGAAGTTGCTGCTCTTTCGCTGTTTCCACAAGTTGGCTTCCGTCCAATATTTCTGGAGATTCAGTCTCTGTGGAAACAGTTTCTGGGAGTTTAGGTTGTTCATCTTTTCCCATTGCTTCTTGAGATTGTGGCTTTCTACCTGCTTCCAGTGGTGGAATATTTTCAGCTATTCCTAGAGGTTTCATCTCTTGGGCAGTTTGTGGATTCTCGGTACCTCCCATGACTCCAGGACAGCCCCTCTGTCCCACCATCCTCAAAGATTGATGCTTCGCTTCTATTCCTAAAGTTTCAGTTTTAGTATTTCCTTCTAAAGGCTGAGCCTTTGTCACGGTTTCCACGTCTTTCTTCTTGTCTTCTGCTCCTGCAGTATCATCTTTGCCACCTGGCTGAGGTGGTCCAGACTCCTTGAGTCCTTCTAGAGGCTGAATCTTCTCCATGGATCCTGGAGGGTCTGCAGCATCCTTTGCCAGGGGCTGTTCATGGAGGAATTTAACACCATTAGCTGTAGACACCGCTGAAATCTGGAGCTTCTCTAATGAAGGAAGGCTTTCCTTTTGTATCTTGCCATAAATAGTAGATTCTCTTCCCAGTGTACATGGTTTGGGTTGGGCAAAGCAGGACTCACTTTCTTCTGTGGTTGAAAATATATATTTGAAATTACTTTTTGATCATTCATTTGAAAAATAAATAAGAGAAAATACACATTATTGTTTAGTTTCTATCTTGAGAAAGTACGTTGCTATCAAGAAGTAGATGTCACAGTTCAAGACAGCCCTGGGTACAACTGAGTACAGAAAGGCCATCCCATGACCCTAACACTCCCTAATTCAAATCTCTTTACTGTCTTCAACTCAAACACCTCATCTTAAACATTATGGTCCTCCAAAATCACAGTTTTGTCCATACATATATCAATATTGAAAGAAAGAGAGGGAGGGAGGAAGAAAAAGAGGAAAATCAAATCACAAATAGAGCAGAAAATACTAAAAGAAAATAAACCAACATGTTAAAACGGGCCTTTCAGTGATATATTTCTTCTTCTATGGTTTTTTTTCCCAAAGACAGTTTTTCTTTTTCTCTTATTTTTTCTTAAGTTACCACCTATCCCGGTTATATACACATATATTTTAAAGAATTGTCTGCTTATCTATAATTAAGATATACAACTAATACACAGGCCTCATTTCCAATTTCCCTTTCTCTGGGGCAAATATTTTCATTCTTTTAGCTGTTTGGGAGGGATATCTCTAAGTGAATTGCTATTTCATGATTTTTCAGTTTGGGCATTTCAATTAACTCCCACTATGGAAAATAAAGACTTAGCTCTTTTTATTCCCACCTCTATCACCCCTTACCCTATGAGGGTCAGTGATGCTTAGCCCTCTACAGCTAAGATGGTGAACAACAGCTCAACCTGGAGCTGGGCTGCCGTGAGTCACCGGTGACAGCGTAGGCTGCAGCCCCTGCTGCAGTGGGCTGCCATGGGCTACTGTGTGTGGCTGGCAGCCAGCGTGAGCGGCTGGCAGTCCAGTGTGAGCTGCCAAGAGCAGCCGTGAGTGGCCGTCCAGTGACCGGCGACTGATCTGCCTCAGCCAGGAAGAGCGCAATGATAATACCAACATGGGCCAGTGAAGCCACGTCCTCCACAACTAGACTGAAGAACAAAAGGACAGCAACTTGTCTGGTCCCCTTCCCCGATTCCCCAAAGCTGTTCCCCTCCCCCAATTTCCCAATAAAACCTTTAAAAAAATAAAAATAAAAGAGTAATTATATTGTGATCTGGGTTATATCTATATTGTTATATGTACATATAACCAGTATGTCTCCTTGGAAGAACTGAGCCATATAGTAAGCTATTGTTTTTCCCAGAGTGAATAATTGTAATGGCTCTTCACTTCCATGGTTTATGTGCTATCATTAATTCAACCCACTGCCAATTGTTTCTCTTCTTAATACATTTATTCACATCAAATCATTTCCCACCCCGTCTCCAGGACTGGAGAAGAATTAGAGCCTCAGCCTGAGGAAGCAGAGTTTAGGAAGGATTTTGTGATTTGCAGCAGGCTATCAGCCCCAGGGGTCCTTATGATAGAATTGGGAGGAGGGCTGTCCTTTACCTCACCTCCTAGCCTCATCATGAATGAAGCCTTCAGATTAACAGCACATAAGACAACTTAACAAAAGCAATTTCTCAGATCTATAAAGAAATTCATTACGACGAGACAATTCATTTAGATATTATACAAAGCATGTTCTGGTGATGACTGCCTTAGAAAATTAACAAAGAAATGTGTTAATATACTAATCACAGACATCTGCCAAATTATATTTTCTGGTAAAATAGTTATTACAGTGATTAGTACTGACAGTTAAATGAGACAAACTCATTTCAACCAGCTGTGCCAGCTGTGGATGCATTCTAAAGGCATCAGCCTTCCGGAGCAGAAAACGGTGGGGGGGAATGTGTTGGCACACCCAGATCATAGCCACTCAATTTTATATTTTGAAAAATATACTATGGTATCAGTCTAAGCTCTTCCCTTAAACTAAAAGCTTTGTGAAAATTTGTTATCCACAAATGGTGTCTTAAGTGTCCAAGGGTTCTATCAATTTTTACCATAACTAGAACATTTATGCTCATGATCAATTTTCATTCTTATATACTTTTCCTAATTTTACTGGTATACTTGGCATAGGCAAATGTCCTCAACATATAATATTTTTATAACACAACCTGAAAATAGTCAACTAAGCTGGGTTGACTATTCTTAAAAAAGAATATCACTGTCTCTAATATTTTTTCTGGGGTAGCCCAAAGGAGCTAAAACATCTTTAAAATGATTACACATAAAAATAGAGAAAATGCTGGGCGGCTGAGTGGCTCGTTGGTTAAGAGTTGGCTTGGGAACATCAGCTCTGAGCAGCAGGGCCACCCGGTCGGATCCCACATGGGCCAGTGATGCTGTGCCCTCTACAGCTAAGATGGTGAACAACAGCTCAACCTGGAGCTGGGCTGCCATGAGTGGCCATCCAATGGCCGGCGACTGATCTGCCTCAGCCGGGAAGAGCGCAGTGATCACAATACCAACATGGGCCAGTGAAGCGACGTCCTCCACAACTAGACTGAAGAACCGAAGGACAGCAACTTGTCTGTTCCCTTCCCCGATTCCCCAGTGCTGTTCCCCTTTCCCAATTCCCCAATAAAATCTTAAAAAAAAAAAAATAGAGAAAATGCTGAAAGTGTAGTGACACAATTTCTATTAACTACACTCTGACTGAATTTTTAAAGAACTGTGTTTTGGAGGTATTAGCTCCTAACGAATCACTTAAAGGTTCTTTTTCCTATGTAATAGAAGAGTGCAATTTACTCTAAAAGGGAGGACAGAAATCCTATGACCCTGAAAGTGACACCTATAAAGTAGTGGGTTTGAATCCTGGTTCCTCCACTTACGAGCCTTATTAAGACTCATTGTGCCTCAGTTTCATCACCTGTAGAATGGGAGGAATATTAGCAGAGCTATTGTGAGGATTACACGAATTAATACCCAGAAAGCACTAGCACAGTGAATGGCACACACTGAGTGACAATTAATGTTAGCCATCACTAGTATTATACATCATCTGATGGCCCTAGTAAGGAACAGATTGTGGTGGACAGACAGAAAAGTAAGGTAATTCAATTCATTCTAATACGAGTACCTTTCTTCGAGCCTATTTAGAAAAGAAGAAAGCTCAGAGTAAACAAATGAAAAGGTTGGAAAAGAAATGGTTGTTTCAATTCATCTCTCAGAAAACGCAACAATATAGTCTACAATTGTCACTCACATTTCCTTTCAGGCACCAGATTCCATATCCCTAACAACGTTTTTATCCCCAGCTAGGGAAGTATCATTTTTGGATTCGTTTGACTTCCCTCCTCTTCAGCTGGAGCAGGCCATTCCAGACTGTTCTGACGTTGGGTGTGAACCCTGATTCCATCATTTACTTAACTGTGCGATCTAGACAAACGCCTAACCTCTCTGGACCTCAGTTTTCTCATCTGTAAAATGAGAATATTATGTTTGCCTTCCAGGCTTGTGAAAAGAATTGACCAAGGTGATCATGTGTGTCGTTACCCAAATTGGTATGTGACATGAGAAGGTACTCAGTAAACAGGGATGCAGCGTACAGCCAGGTAGGTGTCTCACTGCCCAGGGGTGTACTGCTGGCAAGGGAGAGCTGAACTCCAGCCTGTGTGCACCTGTAAGGTTGCACATGTCAGAGGTGGGGAGGGCTTCTTTCTCTATTTCCACAAAGGTCCTTTGTGGCCTACCAGTGGCTCTGTCAATAAAGTATAGCTAACTTGGCAACAGAAAGAATGAACTACGACATTAAAGGACTTGTATAAAGAGTCACTCAAACACTATGAAGTTGTCAATGTTGACCTATAAAATTCTGTTGTTACCACAATAAGTTTAAAAACATGATTGTTGATAGATAATGAAATAGTATTCATAATGTCAGCCATGATTTGACTGGATTTGACTGGCATTAAAAAAGTCACTGGTAGCTTTTTTATATAAATAAATATTTCATTGTTGGCTTTGATTTTATTTAGTTCATCAAATATTCATAAGTGCCTACTATATTCCAGCTCTCAGCTGAGCACTGGGTTTACAGCAGTTAAGAAGGAAGGAAGATTTGGTCCCTGCAATCATAGGGTTTACTGTCTGCAGGGAAATTTAAATAATAGCTACTTCCCTCATTAAATCCAGCTTGGTATTTATGCATTACCTCTCACCCAAGATCTCCACATGCTCTGTCTCCATGGTTTTGTGAATCCCCAGCATACCTCCTTCACACAAAAGAAGGTACCATATCATTTCTTCTAGCACTCTAACTAGAAAAGCAGTGAGCTCTTTTATCCACAAAAGGAGACATTCTATGCCTAATCTGTATTATTATGTAATAAACATTGTGGACAGATGCATTGTTTCCACATGCAAAGTTGTTTCAAGAAATGTCTGTTTTCCAAACCCTACATTTTATCAAATCACACACTGCTCTGGGCTTAATCCTTTGGTGCTCATTACCTCTCTTGATTCTGTTGTAAGTTGATCCATGCACAAATTTGTTCTGACAGCTGAACTAAAGAACCCTTGTTGCAAACACCGTTGTGATAGGCACACAAAGAAATTAAACACTAGGCAACATTACAGAAAGGATTAAAACTAGAGCTAACATGCCTGAAATTCACATTATGGTGAAAGCTTTTCAACTCAGTTCATTACTCTAATCAGAAATGAAAAGCAAGGAGAAAAACTTGAGGTCAGTATTTCCTATCCAATGGCTATGACATATCAGACATCCCAAAGACTTCATTGGCCTGTCTACTGGGTATTCTAGAAAATCAGTAAGAAAGAGGGACCCTGATATTTTCCCTTGTTGCCACCATTTCCAAGTTCTTGTAGCTTTTGAGCTTTAGGAACCAGAGGCCCGCTCGTCTTCCTTCTCATCTTCTTCCTTTGCTTTCTCCTCAGTTCCATTCTATTCTCTATCCATGCACCCAACAAATATTTGTGGATCTAACTGTGGTGCCACTCTAGATATGTTTGTCCTTTTCCCTAATCAAAGTATGTAAAAATACCGTCC